ACCCCAAAGCTATCCTTCATGTATTCATTTAAGGTCTTCTCAAATGCCGTGAAGGATGAAAACGATACACCCACAAAAACGAAAGCCATTTCCGAAGCCATAGCACACGAAGTTCAAAGACAATAATTTCCAAAAGAGATCGATTAAAACAAATCGCAAAAAAATGACGGCAGATGAGGGGATTTTTAGACTCAGCATATATGCGAAGAAGTGCAACATTTTGACGTTAAAATTTTTATTTCACCCGCAGGGGTTTTGCAGAAAAATGCATTGTGCGTCGAGACGTCAACGGGTATGTTAGGAATAGTAAGAACTTCCACAAGCAAGTTCCATTGCTAACTTTAAGTATGTTTCGGACACCACAACGAAATCTAGTATTATGTCGGAGTTGGTGTAGGCATCTAAAAAGCCCTCAACTTGATTGGACGCGTTGGAAACCTGTGAACACCTTAATCTCATCTATAGCAGACGGCAGAGCGGAAAAAGCTTCTTGACGGTTGACAATACTAGACGGCAAATTAGCCACATTAATGGTTAGCAATTAGCGTAAATTTCCTCCAGAGATTGTCCCTAGCGCATTTTGGTTTCCATCCAAAGTGCTTTAAAAGTCAGCTTAACATTCTTCGGATTGGTAGGAATCTTGCCCGACAATGAGTCCAAAACGGAGATTCTGCGATCATCTTCCCGCATTCGGGTAACCTGAGACCAGATGAGCGTCAAAAATAAACCTTTTTTCAGGAAACCTAGGTTAACGTTCCAACCATGTGTGCTAACCATGCTATGAATCGCCTTTTTGAACTTACACGTTGCCTAGATAGCGCAAGCGCGCTGCTTTCATATCCAAGGTCACCCGCGTTGTCTAATTTCTTTTCGGCGTGGTTATCTGGCGCATGTCTGTCGTGCTTTAGGAAGGGCTGCACGACTCCATATGTGCAGGTGAAAAACACCAGTTTATGTGGCATCGTTTCACGTGGCTATTTACACACTTTTGCTCCAACCCTTCAAAATACCGAGTGCTCCGTGAGGAACCAAAGTTCGAATTTTCCGGTATGGGAAACGTCCCTGGGAAATTATGCGAAAATAGTGGGCGGAACTGCTATTCGGATGGATATTAAAATGAAGACGTGTGCCATAGTTATTTATGGATGACGGAAAAATTGCTCGGCCAAGCTGTGAGAACGCCATTTCCGGTGATCCGATTTTTTTAAATTGAGGCCGTCCAGAAATGCATCTACTCAAGTTAGTGCGCGATGCCCGCAGCCCAGGGTTCTGAAATGGTTTCTGAGGTTGCCCAAGACGTCAAGGCTTTTGAGCATTACGATGATAACCCTGGATCATAAAACTACAGCCCAGCTTCATCTGGTTTTGCCTCGCTCAACCGAAAAGGCATGGCTATACCTGTCTCTGGGTACAGGATATGATGCCTATCGGAGTCGCATTTGGGTCCAAAGAGTAAACTTGACAATTCAGAACAAGTTAGATGCACTCCTTTGGCCGTTCTCGCTTCTTACACAGTTTGGCCCTAAGCGGACCCATGTGTTATTTGCGACTGAAGTGGCCAGAAACCATGTCGTCTCCGTTGCTTCGGGTGAATGTCCTTCATGTGGAGCGTTTATCACAAGAGCACCTCGCAAAGTAGAACATGTAGTTGACGTATTTAGGCTTGCTGTGTGTGACAATCTATTCGAACAACGTAAATTAGTATTCATTGTTGCGGAAATGACTACGATGTGCCAGAAATGGCTCCGTCTTTAAGGCGCGAATTTACTGACCGTAGTTTGAATCCAACACATGCATCCCGACTGCTCCTCTCCAGGTTCGGGCAACGCGTTATTATCTCAGCTCTCGTGCTTCCTTCGGGTGACATTGCAGCTAGGTACTATAAGGGTGTTACAGGTAAACGGTTAAATTTTTATTTACAGTGTGCATACGTGGCTTACAGTAGACCACCACATATGTGCTCTCACCTGTCAGAGGGGTTTTGTAAGGGAGGTAGCCCGTACTGCCCCAGGTTTCTCTTGGAAACAGCATCCTCCAGAGGTAGGCCATTTGGTGAGCAAAGAACCACTTCCGAATATCATCCAGCCGACAATGGCCTTTCACTTTAAAGGGATTTGGACACCAAAGCTCATCATCATCATCAACAGCATGGCATCAGTGTTCAATACCGATGCTTCACTGCTTCACACACCAAAGCTGGTCTTCGGACGTCCTCTAACGCAACTGAACCACGGATTTTATTACACTACGCCGCACCTCTATTTGATCCTTGTCCTATTGACTGCTGGTAAGAAACAGTTCACCCATAGATAGGATAAATAGTCACTCAGCTGTAACACCCTTTCGATGCCCGTCTGCCATACCACCCAAAGGAGGCACGAAGGATGATATATTGCCTGGTTGTCCAAGCCTAGACGAGAACAGTCGAAATGTTGGATTTGGATACGAACCATGGCTCTTCCTGTCGGCAGTTTTCCACCATTTCTTTTGAGCTATCTTGAGATAACAAACAATAACTGGTGGCTTTGTTTTACTCAGAAGCATAATATCTCTATTTCATACTTATTTGAAATCGACAACTGTGAGTCAGGAACGTTTAGATCGGTCACTACATGTGAACATGGGCCTGAGAAACCCGATCTCCGGTTCTTTAGAAGACCGGTCCTCGTTCGTTGACCGTTGGAAGCGAACAGACAGCAGCCCAATTATTACCGACCCAAGGATCTCGAAGGTGTGTGAAAACATTTCTGAGGAACGTTCAGTGTCGGCTGGGCGATAAAAGTTGTTTCAGCTTTGGATTGAAATTATATATTCTAAATTGTTGGGAGTCTTATGGGACAATGTGAACTATTTATACCACACGATTAAAAGGTTGGGCATGCGTCTTGGCGTTAGGCCGACAGCTCAGAGCTCAACTTGAAAAGTGACATAGACTGTGGAGACCTTGAAAATAATGGTCAACAATACTATGATTCACCGGTCAGTGTGTCAGTCATAGAGTTGCCGAAGCGACATAAGCGCCTCGTGACCGTTGCAATCTCTCCAATTAAACGTCTGTCAGATGATGAATATAAGGTCAATGAACGCAAACTTGGGACAAAGCCAGTTTGTTCTTCAGTACGCAGCCTCGTGCTGTTCGACCTATCTACGAAGAAAAAGGCCAAAAGACATTCGAGAAGCTGCAGCCACTAGGTTTATGTATTTTGTGTTTGCGCACCTTTTGCTGAGACTGCCATGGTCGTAGCAGCGCCACATTCTTTTTTCTCTTCCTGCTGCCCGTAGTAGTTCCGTCAAATGGACCACCTAATTGCCACCGGCCTGTTTGAAGATCGATAGATCCAAACACTCAGAGCCAGACTTCCTTTCACACTTCCAGAGGGAAAGTTTACGTATTTTTCACTCCAATTCACCCTTGGCTGCTTTCGGTGACTGTATTGCAGGGAGGCAGCTGAACCGTTCTGGGCGACATTTGGAGCATATTGTTGACTGTCGATTTCCTCCGATCTGTTGTCCGAAGCCATCTCAATATCCTGAATGTTTGCTTGCTACCAGTGTGTTCGGCCTTTTAATATATTTCCCAGCGACAGGCGTTTAAACCATCTGCTGGCATTGTTGTGATAATTGCTTTCCTAGTGTCGACCGAACCCATCAATCTAGACGTTATTCGTCTATTCCAAGTATACATTTGGAAGTGATCCCTTGTTGTGGTATGCACTTTACGCAGTCAGTACTACTGCAGTGCCTCCTTGAGCGTGAGATAGCTCAAAGGTCAACTCGCGAACCCACTGATCGGAAGGTCCGTAGTTTCAACTCAACCTCTGCATCTCGACTGCTCCTGTCTAGGCTTGGGCGACACGGCAGTATCTCAGCCCTCCTACATTTTTCTGGTGGTGTAGCTACTAGGCACCGAGAGGATATCACAGAGTAACTGCCATCAGAATACAATTAATTATGGCTAAATATTGATCAACTTGGGATTTTGATTCTCCTGTGTACTTAACACCCTTCACAAGGAGGATTTTGAGTTTGTTTAGCGTTCCATGTATCTGGGCAGCTGCGTAAAACTTTCAATGTACGCATTATCAGGTATCAAGTTGAACTTTTGAGCTTGCGTCATCTAAGTTTTTGGAGACAACAAACACTATCAGATGAGATGTAATACGAACGTAATATAAAAGTGAAACTACCGGGGAGGCCGAGATGGTGTTACTAGATAGCGCACTCGTGGAAGCACCAGGGCTGAAATACTGCTAGTTTGCCCAAACGTAGGCAGGAGCAGCCGGGATTCTGAGGTTGGGTTCGAATCACAGACCCTCCGGTCTGTAAGCTGGTGCCTTAGCATTGGTCTATTTCAAGCTCAAATTTTGGATGCTCACAGGGAGAATCAAACTCCCGATCCCTTGTTTACAGGACCACTACTCCAACCACTGAGCTCTGGACAAGTTGGTACGAACCACGGACCTTCCAGTCATCACTAAGCCATATCAAGTTCGATGGTAGCTTTATCCCGCATACAGAGTCCTTTGCCAAGTTGACTACATACGTCCATTCGTCCAATTCCTCGAAAAAAAATTATCCATCAGTTTAGCCTACAAATCAGTCCTTACACTTTTGAACAGCTCAAGCAGCAGCATATTTCCACGAACGGTTTTGTAGTTCTTCAAGTAAGAAATAGCCTGGCTAACGTTCCTTTGGTTGGGCTGATTGAAAAAAATTACGCATGTATCGGTAGGACACAAGCTGATGTGGAGTTGAGCGATCGATCAAACGGCAGTGATTCGTGTTGAACACTCCGTTCAGATCACGCGCTGTCTCGATAGCCTGTGCGCTGCGGCACGACCCAGCCAACGTCATCCAAACATTGGACCGTGGCTTTGCCGAAGGCCCGGCGACAGATTCCTCCTGGCTGTAATCACAACATCCGACGCACCATCCCCAGCCAGTTGAAATTGAGTGTCCCTGCCGAATGAGATGCTCAGTAGAGTCGAAATGCTGAAGAAATGCGAAAATGCTGGAAGCGTCCGCAAGCTGTTTCACTTGATTCGTTCGACCGTTCCTCGGAAGCCCATTATCAGAGAAATTACCAGGAACTGAAATGGCTCCCTGATACCCAACAAACCGGAAAGTCTGAGCCAATGGGCTCAGTCATCATCATCATCTTCATCATCTCATCATCATCATCGTCATCATCATCATCATCATCATCCCAACGGATGTCAGTGGGGTTCTTGTTGTCAGTTTCTATCCAGATCGCCTGAGTGAATGTCTGGAGGTGTAGGCACCTCTGAATGATTGTGGTAAACTAGCACTTAGTTCCTTCTCCGTCCTGCTTCACTCTTTTCTTTACAATAAGGCTTTCAAATAAATCACGGTTGTACGGCAGTGAAGCATCAGGGTTGAACACTGGTGTTGTGCTGTCGATGATGATGATGGTATCAAACTGGACATAATGATACTGATATTTTGAAGTCCTTTCGTCCAGTTGAACCGGGAATAGCCACTTTTTTCACATTCAACTTTTGATCCGCAGTCGTCATTTAGCGTATCATTTTATCGAGCGAAGAAAAATAACCACACCTTTAACTTTCAGGCTTTTCAACAAGCTGTTCGTAGCCTAGTTGGCAGACATCGTTCTACGGTTCCACCCAACCTCGTTTTTGCATCGCGTGGTAAGTCTTCGTTTCGTTGATGAATTCCTTAAGCACTCTCCGAACTCACACTGATCGACGATAATTTTTCAAATCCTCCACCCCATCGGCTTTCGCAAACTGCACACACCCGCCACGGTGGAGCAGATTCTCTTGTTGAACCACAGGACCATCAATCCTCCGATACTTTGGATCCGTCCGATGTTGCACTTCTGTTCCGGTGGCTCACATCAATTCTAACGGTATCGCATCCCGTGGGGGACCCACTTTTTGACTTCCTAGAGGGACTGGATACCTTTTTTTCGGCTTGCCGCGAACGCTGTCGCTTTCCACAGCTCGAAGTCCATCTTCCAGGAGATAAGGCTCAGCCCGGGTCGGTTCTGAATGATTTGATTGCTTCGTTGTTGAACAATTTCAAACGCCTCTCCCAACAGAGTCGTGGTGGTGCAGCCACAGTTCATGGTGAGGTGCGCATTTTCAAAACGTTAAATGCAATCAGCAGCGCCATTGGGTCCATACTTTTCGGTAAGTCTTATTTTATGGAAATTGCTAGATGTTAAATACATCACAAGACGGGTATAGTTGGCTTTCGACCAGTTTTTTCCAATTAGCCTTTGTTGGTTCCTTTTTCTGAGCCGAGGTGATGGCCGCCAAAGATTTGAAGACCTCTGACAGGTTTTGCTTCTTTGGAAGTAACTGACTTATTCTGAAGAGAACCCGCTTTGGGGCACAAAAGGCAGTGCCCATGCAGCAGTCAGCTGTTCCTGTTTTCAGCAAGACGGACTTCTCACATACTTGTAACCAGCCTGTTGAATGATTACACCACAGTTTTGTGGGACCCATTCCAGAGCTGTGTAGGCCACTGCACATGTGAGAGTACCGAGTTTTCATGGGTGAAGTTGATAAGCAAGACCATCAGCTAATTGAATGTGCACTCGAATTAGTTCAACTGAAGTCCGTTCTTGTCAACAACTGCTGGATAGTTTGGCCATTCCTGGTTCGTTCACTGTGTATTCACTTACAATACTTTGTTTAGTGATGATATCCTATCGTGTGCCGCTTACCGTACAATAGGAAACTTGCAGCTGATCCGCAAGGACCTATTGATCGAATTGACCTGGGCACTTCTGACAGAAGCAAACAGTCGAATGGATCACCAAAACTCGAACGACTCCCACCAACTTTACGTGACCTTGTCGCACCTGGCCTATCTTCGTTCGGTTTGGGACAAACGTGAGACAAGTAGCCACTCGACAGACAAGCAAGACTTTCTCTCTGAACCGAAGTTGTTCCACGCCTTGCTTGAGGTCTTTGTGGCTGGGTTGAGACACTTTGAATCTTTAGATTCGGCGCACAGTGCGGTAAGTTGGGTGAGTCCCTCACATTACAACTCATCTCTGTCTAGAAGCATCAGTAAGAGTTTCGGTCACATGTTGCTCCATAGAACCTATCTTCAACATTTTGTTGGTTGCATGCTGACTATTCTCAAATCTTTCATTGAATCAAGAGACGGGAAATCGGTTGACCTTTTTTAGGTGAGCGCATGCATTCAGCTGTAGCACCCTTCCGGTGCCTAGCTGCCATGCCACCCGAAGGTTGCACGAGGGCTGGGATACTGCCAGGTTACCCAAGCCTAGACAGGGGAAGTCGAGAGGCGGAGGTCGGGTTCGAACCACGGACCTTCCGGTCAGTAAGTCCGCGCTCTAACCACTTGGGCCGTCCCGCCCGAGTGGTGAGTGAGCGCATGCTCCCTTAGCATGTGGCTGTTGCAGGAATTGCTGCTCTCAACGTATTAAAAGTTGCCATCGCTCCGGAACGGTGTATACGTTACTTGGCTGACAGTATTTGCTAATGGTCAATCAACTGTTCAGTCTTATTCGCTCCTTGCAGAGCACTAGAATAACGCTGGAATACTTTCGGTTGACAGTTATTAATTTGAAACGAGGCTCCGTTTGGTAGCCTAGAAATCCCCAAGGATGCAACGAATAGCGTGAATGGTGAACTCGCCACCCAGTTGCTCAGGTGTATTCTCAGCAGTCGGCATCCAGAACTATATTCAGCTTCCAAGTTGCTGTAGGAACTGCGAACCGTAATCACTGGTGTCCATTCTTCACTTGGCTAACGAGATGGCCCAGGTGGTTAGAGCGCGAATTTACTGACCGACCGGTCCGTGGTTCGAATCCGACCTCAGCCACCCCACTTCCCCTGTCTAGGCTTGGGCAACCTGGCAGTATCCCAGCCCTCGTGCTTCCTTCGGGTGGCATGGCACCGGAAGGGTGCTACAGCTGAACGCATTTCATTTCGTATAACGAGAAAGATGGATCTAGTTTGTCTTTTCACTTGGACCAATGTCTTCATGATTATCCGAATGGTGATTGTCATTGGATTGTAGGCCCAAATGCATTTTGATGGGCTCGCGTTTTATAGGCTGTTGTCATGCTTTCTGCACCATGGCCTCTGTGATTTGTTTATTTTGATGATGGGTGTGCTTCATTTTGATATTACTGGCGCCTATCCGTGCATTTCGATTGTTTCCCTAGCCACTTCGAATGGTACTACGCCTAGTACCACAGTTGTCCGGTATGAAAGAACCTTCCCAACGACTTATCCTCATTCTTTGCAATTTTTTAGTCAACATCGGCACCCTTTTCTAGAATGTCACCCGAAATTTGAGCGAATTGTCTCCTGTCAGAAAATGATGGCTCCATCAGTCAATCAACGACACTAGTGGTCTTTTGAACCCTTCAGTTTATCAAAGCCATTTGATTGCTGGATTAGTCTGACTGCAGCACGACATCTGTAACATTTTGGACACTTGCATTCCACGCGGTAGTTGGTCGGGAGGCTCTTCACTTCAAGTGGGAAAAATGATGGATCTGGTTGAGGTCTAACGTAACGCTGGATGCTGCGATCAACTATGCTACAACACTACAGAAATTCACTGCGAACTGTTGTTTGATATGAGTTCATTCTACTTGAAACTGAATGCAGTGAGATGGCCTTTTTTATTAAGCATTCTATATCGCACACACTCAACCCCTTCTGGACAGTGAATGGGACTTGAGATGACTCAGTGTTTAGAGCGGGAGTTTACTGACTGGCTGATCCGTAGTTCGAACCCAACCTCTACATCTCAACTGCTCCTGTCTAGGCTTGTAAACCTGGCAGTATTTCAGTCCTCGTACCTGCTTCGGGCGGTACGGCAGCTAGGCACCGGCAGGATGCTACAGCTGAACGACCTCGCGCGTTAGAATTCCCTGGACAGTGAACGCAACTCTGGTGTTGTATCTCGTCGAGGTAATTAAACTGTGACTAGCTTTGACCAGTGGGCTTCCTTCTCACGAGAAGTTCGGATTCAGTCATCAGTTTGTGGTGAAGAAACTTGGTTTTTGTTCAGAAGCTCGAAATGCTCTGTCAAGAGACCTACAAGAACTCTCCTTCGAGTGAATGCTTTTTACAGCACAAACTTTTCCATTCCAATCCCCTTGGGGAGCATTGTTCGAAACCAAACAGCAGACGCTCTTTGGTTGCTAACTTGGTCGGTTTAAAGGTCACTGAAGTTCAACTTTCTGCGGTTGGTACCGCTTGATATTTCTCTCATGTGCGCTTCTCTAGCCTAGGAACAGTCTAGTGTGAAGCGAAAACCAGAAAAGAACGTGGAAGCAGCACCGTTCTACTGAATGATATCGGCAATTTCCTCCGCCCGGCCTACCGGATTTGATGTGTTGACTTTGGCCTAGATGATCACCAGCTCCCCTAGATGGATATTTAATGAAATGCCAACGAGGTTATTGCTCCTAACGCCTGCTCTCGTGCCTTCTTTTTATTGGGAATCAATAGAATTTTTTTCAGTGGAGGTCTTTCGGAAACATTTCACCGGCTATCCCAAGTCTGCAGTTTCGAGGCATGTAGATGTTCCTTTATGTAGCTTCATAGTTAACTTATCACGTTGGCAGTTTTGAAAGCATTTTGTACAGACGTAATACAGATGGAAAGTGGAAAAGAGGGATGGGTAATACACGAAATCACATTGTTCTTGGAATCTGCCGCGTTGAATTACCCCTTCCCTGTATAGTTATGTCGTTTTATCGTTTTTATTTAAGTAAGATCAGATGGCCCGAACATTGACGGTTTCCATTGACTCAGGTGACAGGAACTTGTGATCATAATGCAGGTTTGTTCGAACGCACTGGTCTCTGGAGCCGTTGAATACCCCGAGACCGTCTAGCTATAGCACCCTTTCGTGCCCAACTGCCAATGCTACCCGAAGGTTGCACGAGGGCTGAGATACTGCCAGTTTGCCCAAGCCTAGTCAGGGGAAGTCGAGAGGTAGAGGTCGGATTCGAACCACGGACCTTCCGGTCAGTAAATTTGCGCTCTAACCACTTGGGCCATCTCGCCCAATTGAATTCTCGGAATACCCCGAGAATTCACTCTGATCAATCTGAAGAGCTGCACCATGAACTAACAAAATGAACTAAAGCAACTGAACATTCAGGGTGTTGTGGACAGCTCATATTCTCAAGGGGACCTGTCATCCATGTGACATTTCGTCACTTTTTCGGGATGTTTCTTCGAATGGAGAGGGGGACCATAACGGGACGGAAATTCGCTTTGCAGTTTCAATCAGAACGAATAGCACTTGCATTAGATGGTCTAAAAGAACTCGAAGTAATCAAGAGGTTGTGTAAAGATAATGTCCTTGACCTCGAATCTATCAGGTCACTCCACACTGAAGTGCCTATGTCATCTCGATGCTTTTGTTTCAGAAATCGCGACATACCGTGGTTGCTTGTTTGAACGGACTGTCACAGTTGCTTCTCCGTCGATCATCGAAACTCCCTCCAACCACCACAACCGCTATTGTCCGTGTCGTTTGGTCTCACATCGCTGTATTGAGCTGCCAATGTTTGCCATCAACACTGTGTTCTTCAAATCAGTCGATATCCGGCTCGCAGTCTGATTCATGTTCTGATTTTTCGTCCTCTGGTTTGTCATCGTCAGAGGATAGCTCCAGGCCGGCGGAATCAGAAGTACAACAAGACACAAATGATATTACTCATTTCACTGCTTCTCTCAGGAACAGGTAAGAGTTTCTCTTGATTCACAAGTCAAATTAGGGGAGCGGTTCTGTAAAAAGTTCAGTTGACTTTTGTTCCAACTCAGTAAACCCACAAGGTCATCAAGAAGGATAGGGGACCCTGGTACTCATCACATAACAAGATTCATCCCATTTAATTGGTTTTTATCCTTTCAGTTCATCTCAGGATGTCTCAAATGTGTTTCATCTTTTTCCATCGGACTTTGATTCCCGAAGGACAACAACCGATGCCATGGAATCCATAGCAAGTGGTTTGTTAATTGCGGCTGGGCCACCCGCTACAGAAACCCTGGGAGATACACCGTGCAAAGGCACGACCATGCGAACTTCACATACCAAGCGCGTCAGAGGGCGCTTTGTGAATCCTGATCCGCCTGTGATCAAATCGAGTGTGAGGAGAGGTCCCAACAGTCAGGTGAGACGTATAACACATCTGTTTTGTTGCACGAGCTTGCATCAAACCTGAGGCTTAGGTGTGAGCCGACCGAGAAGTCTTTGATTCGAATTTACCCCGTCTATTTTCGATTGTTTTCGTCTTTGATTTAGAAACCTAGCACGTGTCGTCTGGCGTTTTCTTGGTCTATCAGCTAGTCACCTAATTCGATTGCATTTCACAAGTTCATAAGTACTTTTCCCAGCTGGAATTCCATGCTTTCTTCCGCTCAAAATCAAGGTTGTTTACTTCCCCTCGTACCGTTCTTTACCTAATCCCCTTTTTTCCCTTAAACCAATTTGCAACGGGTAGTGCCTCCTCTGATCTGTTGATGGGAAGAAAGTACGACTTTCGTTTCATCCACACAGGATATGAGTATCTCACCTGTGGAACCCCCTTACAATGACCACCCCCTTGTGGGATCATCTTTAACTTCCAGAGAAAACCCCCCCATTGACATGGATCAGGATACTTCGAAGCATAGGCCGCGTGACCTTTCGGTTCACATCCACAATGGCATAAACAGCATCACGAACATAAATTATCTTACTTCTCTCTGGTTTTCACTATGTTCTACTTGAACCCAAATTGGACTGTTTTCGAGCCCCAAGGAGGGCGAAACCGGTCGTGGGCTATTGAAGAGATTTCAGCAAACCTGTGAGTAGTTTCCTTTATGAAAATATACCGCGATACCTCGAATATCGTGCCACCTGAATCATGAGGCGGCCTGTGTGCAGCACATTCAGTTGTAGAATGCCATAAACGAGAGATTCAGTTGAGTCTCTCGTGAAAACCACATTGATTTGCAAATGAGTGTATTTCTGGAAAACAATCCAGTTTGGGTTCACGTAGAACATAAGATTGACGGAAACTCGGGGACTACACCTACCTGATGAGCCCGAACTGGAAGGGTGAAACCGGTCGTGGGCTTTCGAAGACTTTTCAGCAACCTTGTGAGTAGTTTCCTTTATGGAAATATCTTCTCTTTGTTGAAATCTGTTTCACCCGCACCATATCTATGTTTCATCGGAATAGCGGACTGCATGTTTTTTCCATGTAGTTGAAGTTGAATCATTTTGTCGTTCCCTGCCAGCTACACCGGGGTACACGAATGGGGTGGTGGTTTTTGGCATGTTCGCTGAGTCTGGCAGTTGGACTGTGAAATTTTCGTCGTCGATCAGGGTAACATAGCCAGAGCCTTGTGGGTTTTCGTGCTTCTCCCTCAAGGCTTGCGATTATGTAATTTTCCAGAAGATACCTAATAGCTATGCTGTTTTTGGTTCGTCTTCACTCTCATTGGATGAGTCCGCTCGAAGTTATAGTCGGTCATCTAGGTCATTTTATTTAGGACAACCATTCTGGCATTCCCATTGGTCCATTTTAAATTGTCAGGTCTGACGTTCAAATATCATTGGTCCATGTCTCTACGTTCTGCTATTGGATGTCTACCTGTTGATTCGTGTGACCAATACGACTTGGCTGCTCAGTGTCCAGTTGTAATTCATATTTCTGAGATGCACGGCTCTATTTGTTACATTCAAATGGTTGTTCTGAATCTCTGATCTGGATGTCGATAATTGATATGAAGCTTCTCCGATTTTCTTCTTCCGTTATCGCTTCTCAGTTGTTTTTTTCCGCAGGGTTCAGTAGTTATTTTGTTTGCATGAACTGGGCTGATGCCAATGTTCTCAACACGTGCAAGATGCATGGCCACTGTATGTGTCCGGGTTGTCACACTGTTTGACACTTGGTGAGTGTATCTGATAGTGCTGATGCAATCGTGTCAGCTGACAGTCGTAAATCAGCAAACCGGGAAGTGACCTAGGGAACTGGATTTGCTGAAGTGCAAGTTCTTTCGACTGTGTGGTATTCCACGGTGTGTTTATAAGGATTCCGCACCTTTGCCATTGTCACTCATGTTTACACCTTAGACGCGGTTAGATGTCATTCGCAGGTGAGCCAATCGACGTGGTAGATAAATTTGTTCACTTGGGCAGCTGGAGATGCGATTATTTCTCGAATCGGAAAGGCCAAGGCGGCTTTTGCCAACCTCCGACACCTATGACGCCTACGTGACGTCAGTTGGTCTGTCAAGGGAAGAGTCTACACTGCGGTGGTGCGATCCATACTGCTTTACGAATCAGAGACGTGGCCCCCACGCGCAGAGGACATATGGAAAATGTCACTGTCTGATCATCGGTGTCTCCGAAGCTTTGGTCTGTTAATCCTGAGGTACGCCAGATGCTCTTAGGAAGAACGAACTCTCCCGCGACAGATGAGTTACTCGCGATTCATAGGTTACGCTGGTTAGGACATGTACCAAGAGGTGGACAGTGTATGACCTGGCAACGAAGTATGAAGACACTAACCAGTAAACTTAGTCGGGCGAGCAACTGACGCCTCCTTAGATGGGGAACCCGCTGCTTAAATCACCAGTGGTTAATTACACTGGCGAAAATAGCCCAATCGCGCAGTCAGTGGCGCTTGTGCATCAAATTTATTGCCCTCAGTGCGAAGCTACCCGATTTCCGAACAAAGTGAACATATCTTCGCCTCAAAGGCTTGGTTGTGTGTTCTACTTTCCCGTTTTTTGGTGATCGAAACTGTAGCAGCTGGAACCATTGTGCCTATGGCACACGCCTTATAGCTGACCGCACTACTGTGCGGGTTTTTTTTGACGTTTGACTTGCGATTCTGATTGTATAGTGTTTTGCACTTGCGTGACATTTCTCTGTGATTGGTTTTGCACGTGGTCTTTTTGTGGAGCTTTTACTTCAGGGTAGACGTTATCAGATGCTGGGAACCAAGACGCAGGTGTTAGAGGTTGATAAAGAAAGCCGAACAGTTTGACTTACATCGGGTTGGTTGGAAACCGGTAAAACGCAACACATAGGGGCGAGTGCCGCTGGGAACCAAGACGCAGGTGCGTTTCGTCGACAGAAGTGTCATATGGAACGATGGATTGAACACCCTGAAGAATATCTTTGTAATGTACTACTCATAAGGTTGCTGGAAATCCGCCGACAGCCCACGACCGGTTTCGCCCTATTTGGGGCTCATCAGGTAGGCGCAGTCCCCGGGATTCCGTCAATCTTATGTTCTACTTGAAACCAAATTGCACGAAATTAGTGAATATACACTTATTTGCAAACTAATTTGGTTTTTCGAGAGACCATGAGTGTATATTCGCTAACCTTGAAGAATAGTTCAGCTGGACCCTATCAACTCGCCCTCTGAATGCACCTAACGAACTCGAGTGGAACGTGGACATCAGTCCGCCACCGTGGACCAGCGTGCAATTTTAATGATTCTGCGCCATGAAACCTCTGGTCCAACCGGTTTGCGCCCCGCACTTTTCATTGGATGACGTCGTGTTCAACCTGACGACCATACTCCAAGATATTTTGGATCACCTCGGGGATCGAAATACTCTCGTGGCGTTCGCTCACGGATATTGGGTATACCGATGATATTGTTCTCTTTGGATCAGACCCTTTTGAAATACCAACCTAAATAGTCCTACTACATACACAGTTCGGTTTGCACTTCGCGCCTTTGAGATTTAAAGTGCTGCTGTAAGAGTGGGTGGGAACTGAGCCAAACCTCATGCCTGCAGTTGAACCGATCGTCCGTGGTAGATATGTTCGTTTGTCTGGGCAGCTGAATAAATCCGGGTGGCAGGTGAAAGGCGAATTCCCTCCCCGAATAGGGAGTGACAGGTCAGCGTGTGCTAACTTCCGGTGCCTACCTTACATCAGCTTCAAGATGTACTATCTCGTTAGAACGCTAACGCTTTGAGCAGGAGAATAGCTATCAACGCCGTTATGTTGATTAGTCATAAAGATTCCGCTGTTTCGGTTTCCCCTTTCTGGTCGATTTTTTATCATTCTGGCTGAATAACCGAGAGGGTTTTTGAATCAAGTACTTCGTGTAATTCAGCCACGCTGGTAGAAATTTGGGACCTAAAACATCACACAAACCTCATTCAAACACACTGTGCTAAGTAGATTTTCGTTTATGGCCTTCCTAATTTAAAAACACTAAAACGTACCAGAAGTTTGCTACGAAGGTCTTAGCTGACATTCTTACGCTTCGGGTACAGTCCTGTTCAAATCACCCACACATTGTCGGTGATTAGGGCGCGAATTTATTGCCGGAAGGTCCGTAGTTCGAACCCGACCTCTGCCTCTCGACTTCCCCTGTCAGTATCTCAGCTCTCGTGTTTTCATCGGGTGGCATGGCAGCTAGGCACCGAAACGGCGTTACAGCTGAACGATTACCCTTCATCTTTATCTCTGTCCAGTTTACATATACACGTATATTGGAATTCAGGAACTGTATGCACCCTTGTACTTCCACTCTTTCACTAAACCAGGATCTCATTACCGTTTTCTTGTGTGTGTGCTTGGACAATACTTTTTTTTACACTCTATACACTTGTCGACTCGCTGTCCGGAACGATTTGCCCCTAAAACTTGGGATGTTTTGAACAGTGGGGTTTTGGTCGTTGGCTTGTTCGCTGAGCTGGGCAATTTGATTGCAAACGTTTTATCACCAATGTTTTATACGGTCTAATATGGTGATCTATACAAACGTCGGGAAACGTCTTTGCGTGGTTCTCTAATCCTTCCTTATTAATGAGTGATCATCGTCGTAACAAAACCCCTATAGATGCTCCCCAGCGTATACTAGAATTTGGTATCGATAAACCAACCTTAGCGCTGTTTATTATTCTTGCACTCTTCAAGTCGCACCCGAACACTGCCCGTATCATGTGGTCATGTGAAAGGCACTATCGACTCTGTCGCCTCCTCTTCGGCGGAATAAACTTGCCTGCTTTTGCCTCTACTGTCCCCTGTTGGACTCACAGTCGAGATCGTTGTTATTACTGGTTTGGGCACTGCTAGAGTATTCTACTTTAAAAACGAAGGCGGTCAGATTTTCAACGAAAGTCTTCGGCCCCAAAGTCTAACCACAGTGGATCGGTGCAGCAAACCACCGAAGTGGCTTTGCGGAAACAATTCACCTCTGAGCTGAGCGCTTTTATGCTTTTTACCCTGTATCGTGCGTATCACAACGTGAGTTTATGGTGCATCCAAATTCCCTTCATCCATCTTCCTCAGCTCAAGGCTTACGCGTTGGCAGTCTTCTGCACCAGGCGTCTTCTGGACACTTGCCGTACCCAAATCACTCTGGATGTTTGGCCAACTCTCATGTGTGGTGAGCAATCACATTCCATCTCAGGCTCGCATCTGCGTGGACAGCTACATGAGGCGTTGCATGGATGTTGTCTAACAACGCCATACAATGTATCCGGTGCAGCCAGAACTGGTGCCTCACCACCCGCACCTGACTTGCTGAGTTTGATCCATCGTACTGCAGACAAGGGCATTCGCCAGGTAAGTCTCGTGGACAGGATTGCTGTATTTTGGTTAGCTAGCCGCCAAGGTATAGGTGCAACCCATTCAGTTGAAGCGGAATATCAAGAAGGAAAATGGGTGTATTGCGAATCGCATCCAATTTGTGCTCTAGTAGGGCATAAGGTTGACGGTAAATCACAAACTGCACCCGCCTGGTGGGCCCCTAAGAAGAGGAAAACCCGTTATGGGTTATCGAGCAGATTTCAGTCAGCTTACGAGTAGTATATCTGGGCAGACAAGGGCATTCGCCAGGTAAGTCTCGTGGACAGGATTGCTGAATTTGGTTAGCTAGCCGCCAAGATATAGGTGCAACCCATTCAGTTGAAGCGGAACATCACGAAGGAGATGCAGTTGAGTTGTTGGTTATCAAACAGATTTCAGTCAGCTTATATGTGGTGGCAACTGAAACATGAGGCGTCCTGGTGCAGCACGCACTGCGCACCAACAACCAATAAACTCACCCGAGCTACCAATATTTCACCACATTACCAGATTCAGCTGAGTTTCAAATGTGTCTCACGTCAGAACCGAATCGGTATGCGGATGAGTGTATTATGGTTCAAGGGGAACATAAGGCTGACGGAAACTCGGGGACTGTGCCTACCTGATGAGCCCCAAGAAGGCGAAACCGGTCATGGACTGTCGAAGAGTTTTCAGCGACCTTAGGAGTAGTACGTTCCGTTTAGATAGTGTGTAGTTAACGTACCAAAAACAGTGGTTGCATGTGTCACAACTTTGCTCGCCGAAGAAAGAGTCGATAAATGACACCACTGTGGTGTGAGACGGTTCCTGGCTGAAGATGTAGGTGCGTAATTTCTGCCGGAATGATACTCAAGACGGACGAATAATTCAGGATGTTGGACCTAGAGCACGAATGCTGTGCCTGTGCCACTCGTTTTTGCACCGGCGTCATTTGGAAGCCTTTTCGGCGCTGCCTTCGTACAACCTGATCGCAGTTAGGGCGCATTTAAGTCAGATTCAATTACTTCCTTCCGGAAAAAGACCATTTTTGGTCAACTTTTTCCAAGTACTTCCTCCAGAGAGCACATCTATCTTTCCAGGTTAGCACTGAGACGTCTTCAGGTGTTCGACCATCGCTGTCTCAGAACCATAGCTCTTGTGGGTTGGTGTCGGCGAATCCGTAACGAGGCAGTTGGAAAGCGCGTTTTCGGTTGTGCAACGGGTACTTCCATTGAAGAATGTGTCCAGCACCAGAAGCTGCGTTGGTTGGGACGTGCTGTGTATGCCCAACCATCGTTTGCCGAAGAGAATGCTGTTTTCCATGCCCAACTCAGAGTGGCGCAAACAGAGATGTTGCCAACCGTTGACTTGGCAGAAAAGTATGAAGGAGACCACGAAGCGCTTGGGTGCTGTCGGTGCTACTCGCCTTCCAGGATGGGGACCGCGTGATCCTCACTGTGCTTGGTTGGAGACACTACAAGATATGGCTGCCAACCGATGTCAGTGGCGTTCTTGTTGTCAGTTTCTATCCAGACCACTTGAGTGAATGTCTCGAGGTGTAGGCATCTCGGAATGATCGTGGTAAACTATCACTAAGTCCCTTCCCCGTCCACCTTTACTCTTCTTTACAATGTCTTTCAAATAAATTATGCTTGTACGGCAGTGAGGCATCGGTGTTGAACACTGATGTCATGCTGTCGATGATGATGATGCAGCTTAGCACGAATGTGATGTCTACCGTGAGGTTCGTTCACGCTCGTGTTATTAGATGGATTCATCCCCGAGTAGTTTGAGCTACCCTATGAGATTCTGGTCTAGTTGGGAAACCGCCTCAATATTAGAACCGGCAATTCAGCTGGCCACTTGCTACCCCCAATCCAGAAACCCGGCCTTCAACAGAAAGGTGGACTGTAAATATGGAGCCGCCTTCAGTATCAGAAGTGTCCGAATGCATTTCTCTACTCAAGCGCCATCGTGCTGCTGGTCCTGACGACCTTCCACCTGCTCTCTTCAAGAATGGCGGTGGATTCCTCAGTCAGTGCCTGTCTAGCCTATTTGTGTTTATCTGGGAGAAGGAGACCGTCCCAGACAACTGGGGTGAATCGATAGTGGTACCCATTTT